AATGCTCATGGGAGAAGCGAAAAAGTTTAGCTAAGCGACGGAGTTGCAAAAACCTCTCATCAAAACAGTACTCACTCTGAGTATAGCATAGTTATTAAAGGCCATTGCTGACCGAGTCGGTAACATGACGTCGTGACCTCAGACCTGATGTATATCTATCCACACATATGTGGAACGACGGTCCGAGTGGCAAAACTTCAAGTGTTGTTGCAGAGTTGAGTCACCGTCTACTTTCAGTCTGTTTTAGCCAGCAAGAACCACATCTCTTATCGAGTATCCATGTCTCCTGTAATTCTCGGCGGCTAATCCTGGGTCTCGGGCGGGACTAACTTCTGAGAGCAAAATTGGTATATCGCTTACAACAACATGTTAGATGGACCGCGGTTGCTCGGACAAAAACACACGGTCACAAAGTTGCTTTACGCGTGCCCCGTTTCATTTTACATGATGCACGACCTACGCGTGCCACGCCCCCAAGTCGCATTTCGTTCGTGTCCTTGTACTGTCACAGGACGTTGGTCCGTGCGTTAGCCGAACCAGCAGTGTCTCTTGGCGGCTTTCCTCGAACTCTTGCGGACGCGTTTTTGAGCTGATGAACAAATTCTGTGGAACGCTCGGGTGTTTCTAAGGGCTTCTGATGTCTACGCTCAGATTCTTATGGCTTTATCTATGCAGCTTGCCCCCCCTTCTCGGAGGCAATTCATCAACCTTCCGTACGCAGAAACAACAAACTGGATGATTAATTAGCCCCTAACTAACATATCCCCTGCCAGTGTCCAGAAATTGATCGTGGGCCGCTGGTCCTAGGTGTCGGTCCATTCACATACAAAGATTGTTGTTTCATAAAAGCTCAAGTGTTGTTTATGACATCACGAGCCATGAGTAGACCCCGCGCAAACGAGCGCATGGGTCACCCACTAGAAAATTAAGTTCCAGCTTTGCTGGGCGTTACAAAGCCACAGAAATCAGGGGTTTGGAAGCCTGGCAGCCCTCTTCCGGCAGGGTAAATGACATTGACCATTCTCTTAGGTTAGGGGGCACAACGAATAGGCCAATAGCCACTTTAGAAAAGCAGACGGGCTGCCATAACACGGCTGCTTACAAAGCTTGGATAAATGGGAAGATGAGAGACTCTTGATTTCTATTTGAAAGGGCCAATGGTTGGTTGCTTATATAAAAAGTGACTTCCATCTTCCATTCAGCGACGGAAGTTCGTGGCGCTGACCTATGCGCACGAGTGGCCAGATCTGGACAAAGGCAGAAATGATTAACGTTGTTTTTAGCGGGATAAAGACTCAAAACACAATGTTCTGGGGGCCAGTAAATCCTAAATGCTACCAATCCAAATTCTCGGACTAAGCACATATAAACGTTAATACGATCCCCGTACCTTTCCTCGCTA